GTTGTTTCTTAACACGGCTCTTGGGAATAGTGCTGCAACGAACATGAGAATGCAGATATCTCAGCCTTTCAGTTCTTTGGGGTACATTTCCATAAATGGGATTATATTGTAGTTACATTTTTAATTTGGGGAGGAATCTCCACTGCTGTTTTCAATATAGGCTGTACATTTTAATTCCCACAAACAGTGTAGAAGAGTTCCAATTCTCCACATCCTCAACACTTGTTATCTCTTGGGTTGTTGTTGTTTTTAATAATAGCCATCCTACTGGTGTGAATTGATATCTTATTGTGGTTTTGATTTGCATTTCAGTGATCAGGGATGTTGAGCATCTTCTCATAAACCTGTTGGACATTTGTACATCTTCTTTGGGAAGTGTCTATTCAAGACCTATGCCCATTTTAAAATCAGGTTGTTGTGTTGGTTTTTGCCTTTGGATTTTATGAGTTTTTATATTTTATACATTAACCCCTTATCAGATATATGCTTTCCATAGATTTTCTCCCATTCCACAGATTGCCTTCTCATTCTTTTGATTGTTTCTTTTGCTGTGTGGAAGCTTTTAGTTTGTTGTCATCGCACTTGTCTACTTTCACTTTTGTCAATTGTGCTTTTGTTGTCATATCCAAGAAATCACTGCCAAGGCCAATGTAAAGAAGTTTTCCCCTATGTTTTCTTCTAGGAGTTTTATGGTTTCAGGTTTTATATTTAAGTCTTTAATCTATTTGAATTTATTTTTGTGAGTGTTGTAAGATAGGGGTCCAATTTCATTCTTTAGCATGTTGAGGACTTTATGCTAAGTGAAATAAGCCAGTCACAGGACAGAAATGGCATGATTCTACTTAAATGAGGTACCTAATTAGTCAAATTCGTAGGAGCAGAGAATAGAATGGTGATTACCAGGAGCCAGGGGGAGGGGGAAATGGGGAGTTGTTCAATTGGTGTAAAGTTTCAGTTATGCAAGGTAAATTAGTTCTAGAGGTCTGCTGTACAGCATAGTGCCTAAAATCAACAATACGATATTATATAGTCAAAAGTTTGCTGAGAGGGTAGATCTCATGTTAGCACCAAAAAAAAAAAAAAAATCATAATAAAAAAAAGAGACAGAAGAAAACTTTTGGAGGTGATAGATATGTCTATTACCTTGATTGTTGTGATGGTTTTACAGGTGTATTCACATGTCTAAACTCATTAAATTGTATACATTAGGGCGCCTGGGTGGCTCAGTCGTTAAGCGTCTGCCTTCGGCTCAGGTCATGATCCCAGGGTCCTGGGATCGAGTCCCACATCGGGCTCCCTGCTCAGCGGGAAGCCTGCTTCTCCCTCTCCCATTCCCCCTGCTTGTGTTCCCTCTCTCGCTCTCTCTCTCTGTCAAATAAATAAATAAAATCTTTAAAAAAAATTGTATACATTAAATATCTGCAGTTTTTGTGTATCAATTATACCTCAAGAAAGCTGAGAGCAAGAGCTAAATGTGACATGCAAGGGCTTCTCCTGGCCAAACAGGAATATTGTTTGTGGCACCTACGCCAAGGCCAAAGGTTGATCTCTGTCCCGAGGAAAAGTTGCACCAACTCTGGACCCCAGAAGTCTCTTTCTCTGGTAAATACCAAACCATGATTACTGTGGATTTCACCCCTGACTTACCCTTTTACCACATTCATATTATCTTATTGATACTATCTTATTGATAGTAGATAATCTTATTAAGATACAACTTTATTGGGGCGCCTGGGTGGCTCAGTCGTTAAGCGTTTGCCTTCGGCTCAGGTCATGATTCCAGGTCCTGGGATCGAGCCCCGCATCGGGCTCCGTGCTCGGCAGGAAGCCTGCTTCTCCCTCTCCCACTCCCACTGCTTGTATTCCCTCTCTTGCTATGTCTCTCTCTGTCAAATAAATAAATAAAATCTTTAAAAAAAAAAAAAAGATACAACTTTATTCCCTAGAATGGCTCTGTCCAAATCAGGTGTAAGAAACCTGTTCACCAAGATGTCCCACACCAGGCTTCTTATCATGCCTTCCAGTTTGCCTATGGATGTTGAGGCCAGTCTTCCAAGCCCTTTATGTCTGCAACTATCAAGGCTGACAGAGTATATTTCTTGTATTTTCTCCTTCACCACTGTTGAATTACCTGAATCTCACTGTACTCTTTGACCTTAAGACTCCCATTGAAACAGCAATTACAGTTGCCACCTGATCAGTCTGGGTCCAATAAGGAGACAGAAACCACACAGTGATTAAAATGGAAATTTAATATACAAATTATTAAACTTTAAAAAAAGTAATTGTACAACATTTTAAAACCCTATGTGGTACAATACTGAGAGTATCCAAGGAAAGACAAACTTGGACAAACATCAGACTTTATGAAGAAAATACAGCCGTAGCCTACTGGATGGCAGAGAAGTTTTCTGTTTTGCCTGAGTCAGAGGTGGTCCCTGGTTGCTGGTCAAGTGGGAAGCAACATTCTAGGGTGTGGGTGGTTTGTAGGCAAGTTGTAATGGGTGTTGGGATGCATGGGCATGCAGAATGAGGAAGGGTGCAGATGTCATCCATTTGGGGAACAGATGGGCCACAGTCAGTGGCCAGGTACATGGATGTGCAAAGGGAATGGGTGTGCCTGTGGGTAGAAGTCCTAGAATGTGCAGGGTCCACATCCAGAGGTCCATGGGAATGTGATCAACAGGCTAGAGCTGCAGGATCATCAAGGGACTGTGCATTCTGGATGTTTGGCTAGTGCAGAGTAGGACCAGATGTCCTCACTTCCACACTGCTGACCAATCATGCAGCTGCTACAGACATCAGGAGATCCCTCCCTCCTGCAATCTCCCTCACACACCCTCTGCTGAGAAAGCTTAACATTGTGTTTACTGCAAAGGAGAAATGCTCAAAGAAATGTCTTTCATTATTATAGAGTATGTACCAAAGGGTGAATTTGGAACTTAAAGGCAATAACTTGCCCCTAGACTGAACTGCAATCATTGCCACTTCCAAAGTCCTAGCTACTGGTCTGTAAAAGTTGGGTTACATAGGAAGACATACAAGATGAGGGTCAGTAAGCCAAGGATTGTAAAACATGGAGTAATCAGCACAGAAACACAAAGGAAGGCCATGTAGTAAGAGGACAGCTGGCTTTCCCACAGTCCATTTACAGTAATTGCCCATGCAAGGAGCTATATTACAGCAGCCACCTGGTGATAGGTCAAGCCCATTGCCTTCCATCTCTGGCAGCAACTTTCTAAAGCAAAACCTCACAATCTTCCACCAGGACTTGCTTTCTCCAAACAACCTACCCTCTCCACCATGAGCTCTACTCACAACCCATTAGGGAAAAACATCATATTAAGGATTGGTGAATGTCTAGTGACAAAATTGTTATCACAAGCATCTGAATATAGAGAAAGGAAAATAATTTTGGGAAAGCATTTCCTGCATTATGCATATCCCCACTTGGATTAAACAGTCCAAACAACCCTTGAAACAACACTGAAAAGTGAAGTGTAGAGTGGTGGAGGGGACCACTCCCAGTACTACTCTGTGCTGTAAAACTTGGGTATCAAGTCGGGGGTCATCCGTAATGATCTTTTACAATGTGATTTTTTTCTCCAAACTGTATGTGGAAATTTTTACATCATTTTTAATGGTGATATTGTTTCATTTTTTGTAAGTACCATAATTTATTCAATCTTTTACGTATCTTCAGGTTGTTTACAACTTTTATTATTGTAAATATTCTTGGAATATATTCCCTTCTGAAACCATCTTTCCCCACTTGTGCAATTATACTGTAAAGATAAATTCTGAGGAGTGGAATTATTAATTCAAAGATAATGCACTTTATACGCTTTGATACATATAGACAAATTCCTCTCCAGAAATGTTGCACCTGTATTTTTTCCCACCAACTGCTGGTTTTTCCATTCCCTTACTGACACTGGGTTTTATTAATGTTTCACTGTTGCTCACCTGGATCAGTAAGAAAGCAACATTTTAGGGATGGTTTTATTTGATTTTGAATGGCTGTTCCATATATAAACCATAACTCGTAGGAAATTATAATGTAAGAAAAACTAGGAAGAAAAGATGATCCAAATGAAGAAACCTATAGGTCAACTAAGATACCAACAAAAGACATTATTTGTGAAGATGAAAAAAGATATTGTGGATATATCTCCTCCTCCCAAAACCATCTATAATCCCAAATTAAATCAAAATTATGGAAGGAACTTGACAAAATGAGCACCTTCTCAAACCCCATTTTTATAGGGGTGCCTGGGTGGTTCAGTTGGGTGGGCGACTGCCTTCGGCTCAGGCCATGATCCTGGAGTCCCAGGATCGAGTCCCGCACTGGGCTCCCTGCTTAGTGTGGAGTCTCCTTCTCCATCTGACCCTTCCCCCTCTCATGTGTTTTCTCTCTCTCTCTCTCTCTCATGCTCTCTCTCTCAAATAAATAAAATCTTTTAAAAAATAAAAAAAATAAAACCCCATTTTTATTAAACAAGATTGTTGAGAAGTGGTGGTGCCAGCTTCTGACAATGAACACTCTTGATCTTCTGTAAGTTGTTAGCCACTTCATTAAATATTAGTTTTACTTAATTCACTTTATTAAGACTACCTGCAGGACATCTAGTCTAGTTAATTTCTTATTGACAAACTTTTCCCATTATTACACCTTACAGAGTTTTCTATTGCATGGGATTTATGTCTACAGATTGCACTTTTGCTACAGTTCTACCACCTGTGCATTATCTGGAACATTTCTTTTTTATGCACAGACCAATGAATGAAGATTCTCACTGAAGAAGTCCTAGCCACACCATTTTAGATAGCTGCACTGCCACATATAGCCTTAACGACTTAAAAGTTTTGAACTCAATTATAAAGTTGCTTTCTTCTGCGAACTCCAATGACCGTGAAATATGTTGCTGTTAAATCCCTCTGTCATAGTTGGCATAGCCTGGGCAATACTAGCAACAAATAAACTGCCAAAATATCAGTAGTATAACACAATAAATGTTTATTTCTTACTCAAGAAAAACAAAGTCCAGCACAGGTCAGATAGCCACCTTTTATCAATCCAGCCTCCAAGGTCACCATGACAGGAAAGATGGCCAGAGGACATCACAAGATGTTTCTAAGGGCCAGGCCTGGAAGTAGCTTATATTACTTTTGCTCATACTCTGTTGCTTGGCACTCTATCACATGGACCAGCTCTTAACTGCAAGGGTTTCTGGGAAATGTGAGTCTCTATGGGATCCGAGAAATAGAACCACCGAGATAAACACACAGCCATGCCCGTAAAATATCACTTTTATAGAGCTTCTCCCTGTGTAGAAAATCTAATGGATTTGAAAACCTGAGAATGGACTAACATTCTTACCACACTAGTAACATGGGTTTCATTTCTGAGCACTCTTTTGAATATCTTTCTAGTGGGTACTCTCTTTAAAAAATCTACAGATTTTGGCTGGCCTAAAGTCCTCACTTGTACCCATCTCAATTATAATTTCCTTCCTGGGCATATCCATTCACGGAAATTTGATCTCCAATTATTGTCATTGCCACAAACCGTCCATCTGTCAATTGTCACTACTTTGCCACTGCAGCATATGACAGTTGATGGGAGTTTTGAAGAAGTTCTTGAGATCCACAGTAGGTCCCTGGAATGCTCTTAAGAACCCTTGCTTCAGAGCTGCAGGATGACATGATGGGTGGCAGCGTCCTTGTCCTTTGCTGCCCCAGCCCTCCCAATGACTGAGTAAGCCTCTATCACCTGGAATACATAGACTTGCTTGCTTTCCTGATTGGGCCCTTTCAGAATTACATTGAGTACGTTTCTGTCCTCTTCTGTAGTCTTTGATGAGTAAGAAGGTCTGAGCTATAACTAAAGCCATTGCCAGGCTCACTACTATATTGCACCTCGTCTGCATGTGTTCTCTGGTGAGCGAGAAGATATGAGTTACGACTGAAGCCCTTCTCACATTCTTTACACTTATAGGGCTTCTCTCCTGTGTGGACTCTGAGGTGCACATGAAGATCTGAATTCCGACTGAAGCCCTTACCACACTCATCACATTTATATGGTTTCTCTCTGGTGTGGTCTCTTTGATGTAAGTGAAAATATGAACTATAACTGAAGCCTTTACCGCACACTTCACATTTGTAAGGCTTTTCTCCCGTGTGAACCCTCTGATGAGTGTGAAGAACTGAACTGTATGCAAAAGCCTTTCCACACACGTTGCATTTATAGGGCTTCTCCCCTGTGTGGACTCTCTGGTGAATGTGGAGGTGTGTGCTTTGGCTGAAGCCCTTTCCACACTCACCGCACCTGTAAGGCTTCTCCCCTGTGTGCAGCCTCCGGTGGACTTGAAGAACAGAGCTTGAACTGAAGCATTTGCCACACTCACTGCATTTGTAGGGCTTCTCTCCAGTGTGGACTCTCTGGTGGACAAGAAGATTGGAGCTCTGATCAAAGCCCTTCCCACACTCCTCACATTTATAGGGCTTTTTCCCTGTGTGGACTCCCTGATGAATACAAAGAAGTGACCTAAATCCGAACCCTTTCCCACACACATCACATCTATAGGGCATCTCCCCTGTGTGGACCCGGTGATGGTTGTGAAGAGAGGAGTTGCGCCTGAAGACCTTGCCACATTCGAGACATTTATAGGGTTTGTCTCCCAAGGGGACCTTTTGATATCTGGGAAGGTCTGGGCTCTGCTTGCAGCCCTCTGCCCACTCTTGATATTCATAAGCTTTGTCATCTGAATGAGCTTTATAGTGAACAATAAGATCTGAGCTCTGACTAAAGTCCTTTCCACACTGGTCACATCTATAAGACTTTTCTATGTGAGCACTGTGATGAACAGGAGGGTCTGCACCATCTATGAAGCCCACACCATAGTTATTACATTTGACAGGTTGTGGTACCACAGGGACCACGTTATGTTGTTTGGCTGTTGATTTCATAGCCAAGTGTTTCCCACAGTCAGTGTATCTACAAGGTTCCTCTTCTTTACATTCTTGGGAATCACCATGATCACATGATGTCTGACTGATGCTGTCATCACACTGAGCACATCCATACAGTTTCTCTTCCACATGAATTCTCTCATATTGTCCTTGAGAATTCTGGGGCTCAGTCATCATGTTGGCTCCCTTCCAAGATTCTGGGGTAAAGACTCGTGTCAGGCCTTTCCCTTCTGTGCCATCTTGATTTTCTAAATTAATGGCATTTATTACATAGTTTTCATTTTCAGAAATCTGAAGAGACACTCCTGCCCACTCTTCACAGAGAGAAACATCTCCTTCTAAATACTGGGGATAATTTCCTTGAAGATTCATGACATACTCCTGACTCACAGTTAATTCACTGATCCTTTGTTTCCAAATCTGCCAGCAGTAGAGCACTTCTTGAGAGAGATAACTCAACCCTTTTCCCTGAAGATGTGAAATGTTGTTTTTAATCCTGTCTCCTATGAGGAGAAAGAGAATTTGGCTAAGAGAACAAGTAAGTCATCCCTCCAGAGGTTTTGAGAAATGAAGTAGGATGGGGTGGAAAGCTGTCACTGGTTCCTATTGATATGGAAACAGAATCACAGTACTTCTAATCTATGAGCTGCCAATTAAAAATCAGATGTTGCAGAGAAATCAAAAGAAATCCTGGGAACAATTTATAAAGAAAGATTCACCTCCCTCCTATAAGAGCAGCTGATAAAACCCTTTAATCATTTTGCTACAAAAGGAATGGAGAAGGGGTGCTTGGCTGGCTCAGTCGGTTAAGCACCCAACTCTTGATTTTGGCTCAGGTCATGATCTCAGGGGCGTGAGGTCGACCTCACATGGGGCTCCATGCTGAGTATGAAACCTGGTTGGGATTCTCCCTCTTGTTCTCCCTCTGCCCCTCCTCCCACTCGCACTCTCTCTCTCAAAGCAAAAAAAAAAGTATGGAGAAGACTCCTATAAGATTTATGGTGTGTACAACACAATAATGGGAGTGCTGGACATGGTGACAGACACAAAGGATCACAAAGACCTTCCAAGATACCATATAAAGTTGCGGAAACAAGCAACAAATCTTGTCTCTTGCTAATGTCCCTTCCTTCACATTACTGTCATTTGAAGTAGGATTATCATGTATGTTTCTCTACAGCCTGCCCAACTGTATGTGGTCAACTTAAAACAGCAATGGGGACTGATATAGGGATAATATTGTGAAATATGGTCCTGGGGTTGGTGGGGGAGGTACATGTACACCTTTGAGGCAGGCTTAAAGAGACATCCTTTTCTCTGAGGTTCTCTGGATTCCACGAAGAGATAAAGTCCACCAAAATCCTATAATCCATCCAGTGATTTTTTTCTTTTTTCTTTTTAATAAGTAATCTCTACTCCCAATGTGGGGCTTGAGCTCACGACCCTGAGATCAAGAGTCGCATGCTCTAAGATCCTGTAATCCATTTCCCTAACATTCCTATTTAAGTAATTGCAGAATTTCAAATAGCCATGACTATGAGAATGAGCAATGTGGAACTGTCAACGGCCTGGCCCCACAGAAGCAAGATTGTACCAAAGAGTCATAAAACATAAGGAGATGAGGTAGAAGAGGATGGTCACACCCTTGGCACCCTAAAATGGGCTTCAAATGCCATGAACACTATGGTCAAGACCATCTGGACACGGCTTCTGGTTCAAGGTAGTTTCTGAGTCATTTTATTGAGAGTGACGTTAGTGTGTGAGGTGGTGTCAGAGAAAGGGGGACTTGGAGCTACCCACAAGAGGCCTAAAGGAGCAGTTTTCCAGTTGTTTCAACTGTATCCGTAGTAAGAAAACCATTTGCACTGTGACCCAGTATGCACAAATAGACACTGACTGTTAAATAGAAGTTTTACAAGCTGATACTTACCTTACTAGGTGCAATGTACTCTGATAAATTCTTTTGTGTTCTGGTCCATTAATCTATCTTGCTTTTTAAAAACTGCTGATTATGATAGAGTAACTTGATTTCAGAATGGAAATTCTGAAACTGACTCACTGACAGTGTTGAATCCTGCAGACTAGCTATATATCTATAATCTATAGACATAGTGGTACTTAGTTTCACATGGTTATTAAAGGGTCTTGGGGTGCCTGGGTGGCTCAGTTGGCTAAGTGTCTGACTCTTGATTTCGGTTCAGGTCATGATCTCAGGGTTGTGAGATCGAGCTCCGCATTGGGCTCCATGCTGAGCCATGGAGACTGCTTAAGGTTCTCTCCCTCTCTCTCTGCTCCCCCGCCCCCTCTGCTCACATGTGCACGCATGCACGCTTTCTCTCTCCCTAAAAAAAAACAAAACAAAACAGAACACAGGGTGTACAGCCAGATAAGGAGAGTTCACATCATATTTCTTATAAGCTGTGTGACCATGGGCAAGTTACTTAACTACTCTGTGCCTCAGTTGTTTCCTTTGTAAAAGAAGGAATAGCAACTATCTCATAGACTAAACCAAGGTAATGCATATCTGTATGTGAGCCTCTGAGAAATTAAAACTAGATATTTATCAGTAAGAAAGCAAATAAGCTGACATTTATACCACACTCACTGTACACCAGATCCTGGTTTAGTTCCTTTAACAATAGTTTGCCCAAAACACTGGTTTTTCTCCAGAAGCAACCAAGGGACCAAGGCCCGTGGTAATGTGTGAACTTTATCAACCTTGCTTTGGGAAACATGAGAGCAGGTGAAGGCCTAAAATGAGAGGAGGCCAGGGTGGTCTCACTAACTGTATTGGAGGCCCATGGGCCAGTGGGTTTAAGATGTGAGGGGTTTCCTCACCAACATTTCACAGGAGGCCATTCACTCACGTCAATCTGTTAAAACTCACTAACTTCAGGGGTCTCCTTGGCATGTGTGTCTCTCAGGTATTCTCACCAGTGGCCAAAGTTTCTCTTTGTGCTCCAACTGGAATATTCTATCTGGCTTGAAACTGATTTGAGGAAACAGGACAGAGGCTTGTTGTCCTCACCCACTGAGACAAGGTTCCTGAAGTTCTCCAGCATCACATCCTGGTACAGGTTTATCTGGGCCTTGTCCAGTAGAGCTAGCTCTTCCTCCGTGAAGACCACCGCCACGTCCTTGAAGGTCACAGCTTCCTGAAACACCAAGCACACGCCTCATGGATCATCCACGGATGACCACTGGAAGAAGAGCACAGCTGGAAGCTTTGCTGGTCATTAGGTTGCTGTCTTTCTGCTCCCAGCCCTCCACTTTAAACCACACTTTGTAATGCTGGAACCATGGCTCTGCAAATTGCACTTTGAATCTGAGAACTGGCTCTGTGTGAGGCTCTGCCACTAGGGGGCACAGGAAGGATTCTGCAAGGTTGGGGGAGAAAGAAGGGACTTAACTTGTTCCTGGCCTGTCTGCCTCCTGTTCTGGTATCACCTCTGCCATGCTATGTTCCGCTGGTAGCAGCAGTCCCATTCCCTAGCGATATCTGAAGTCTGGGTCCCTGACCCCTAGGCTTCTTCACTGAGCTCAGAGACACCAGCCGGCCAGCACCCCCCCTCTTCACAGTTCTGCATTTCAGCTCCACAAGGCCCCTCTTCTAAGTTTCCAAGTTCCCATAATTTAATCTCACCCTTTGGTTCCCTCAACCAGGTTGTTAGTTACTTCCCATAGTTGGTACTTCCATGATACTGTAGAGTTCTCTCTTTACCCCTCAGTTACCTGGCTCACAACTCCAAACCTAGTCAACAATTCTATTAAATTCTTCCTGTTCAAACAGCCAGCGTCCTTTTTGTGTCCTGAACAGACCCTTACTAGTACAAAAGAAATGAGAAACATAGAAGAAATTCAAAGTTTTGGGTAGGCCAAGTTTCTCTTCTTTTGTCTGCATTGCCTGTGTCCCCATTAACTGTCCAGAGTCACACAATGTTGCAGTAAACATCCATGAACATCTGTCTTTGAGTGCTTATAAGACCATTTCCATAAAATAAATTCCTAGACCAGAGACTACTGAATTACTTGGGTTTGCAATTTTACATTTTGACTGATATTGTCCAAATTATCTTCCAAAAAGGTTGTGCTGATACACTGGCCTAGTAGTGTCTGGGTGTTCATTCCTTTTCATACATCAAGACTTGATATTTTCTCTGTCATGGCATATTAATCTATTTCTATTGGACTAAGCAGACAAGGCAACTAAAAGCATTGGCTGCCAGATTTAAAAAAAAAAAAAAGTAAAAAGGAAATTATTGGAACATGTGAGAGCATTTGGGTATCAATTAAGTATTTTTTTATTTTTATTTTTTTTTTAAAGATTTTATTTATTTATTCATGAGAGACAGACAGAGAGAGAGAGAGAGAAGCAGAGGGAGAAGCAGGCTCCCAAGGAGCAGGGAGCCTGATGCGGGACTCGATCCCAGGACCCTGGGATCATGACCTGAGCCGAAGGCAGACGCTTAACCGTCTGAGCCACCCAGGCGCCCAATTAAGTATTTTTTTAAAAAAAACAGTAGAGTCAGTAGTGGAATTACTGGCTCATATGGTAGTTCTATTTTTAATTTTTTGAGGAACCTCCATACTGTTTTCCATAGTAGCTGCACCAATTTTCACTCCCACCACCAGTGCACAAGGGTTCTTTTTTTCTCCGCATCCTGGCCAACACTTGTTATTTCTTGTGTTTTTTTTATTTTAGCCATTCTGACAGGTATAAGATGATATCTCCTTGTGGGTTTTTTTTTTTTAAGATTTTATTTACTTGGGGGAGAGAGAGAGAGAATGAGAGAGAGAGCACAAGTGAGGGAAAGGACAGAAGGGCAGAGGGGAAGGAGAAGAAGCAGACTCCCTGCTGAGCAGGGAGCCTGACCCAGGGCTCCATTCCACGACCCTAGGATCATGACCTGAGTCGAAGGCAGTTGCTTAACCAACTGAGCCACCCATGCACTCCATCGTTGTGGTTTTGATTTGCATTTTCCTGATGATGAGTGATGTTGAGCATCTTTTCATGTGTTTGTTGGCCATCTGTATGTCTTCTTTGGAAAAATGTCTATTGGTGTACTCTGCTCATTTTTAAATTGGATTATTTGGGATTTTTTGGAGTTGTGTAAGTTCTTTATATATTTTGGATATCAACCCCTTATCAGTGATAGCATTTGCAAATATCTTCTCCCATCTAGTAAACTGTCTTTGTTTTGTTGCTGGTTTCCTTCTCTGTGCAAAAGCTTTTTATTTTGGTGTAGTCCCAAGAGTTTAATGTTGCTTTTGTTTTCCTTCCCAGAAGAGACATATCCAGAAAAATGTTTCTACCACTAATGTCAAAGAAATAACTGCCTATGTTTTCTTCTAGGAATTTAATGGGTTTCAGGTCTCACATTTAGCTCCTTAATCCATTTTGAGTTTATTTTTATGCATGGTATTTACCCAAAGGAAATGAAAACACTAATTCAGAAAGATATATGCACTCTTACGTTCACTGCAACATTGTTTACAATAGCCAAGATATGGAAGCAACACAAGTGCCCATCGATATAGACGAATGGATAAAGAAGATGAGGTATACATATACAATGGAATATTACTCAGTCATAAAAAGGAATGAAATCCTGCCATCTGCAACCACATGGATGGACCTAGAGGGATAATGTTAACTGAAATAAGTCACTCAGAGAAAGACAAATACCATATTGTTTTCACTCACATGTGGAATTTAAGAATAAAACCAAATGATTAAAGGGAAAAAAAAAAGAGACAAATGAGATTCTTAAATACAGAGAACAAACTGGTGGTTGCCAGAGGGGAGGTGGGTGGGGATGTGAGGAAAACAGATGGAGGGGATTAAGAGTACACTTATCATGATGAGCACCGAGAAAAGTATGGAATTGTTGAATCATTACATTGAACACCTGAAACTAATATAACACTGTATGTTAATTTTACTTGAATAAAAATATAAATTTCTTGAGTGATGACAGTAATGTGGAAATGTAGGAAAACACCCTTATTCTTAGCAGATACATACTGAAGTATTTAGGGATGAATAATGATGACTGTAATTTGTTCTCAACTGGGTCAGCAAAATGAAATATAGATATTGTGTGTGTATGTGTATTATGTATATGTGTGTAATTGTTAACAACTTGTGAATCTAGTTGAAGACTAAACATTATACTGCTCTTTCCATTTTTCCATAAATTAAAAATTTTCAAAATAAAAAACTGAGGGGAGGGTGCCTGGGTGGCTCCGTTGGTTAAGTGACTGCCTTCGGCTCAGGTCGTGATCCCAGGATCCCAGGATCGAGTCCCATATCAGTCTCCTTGCTCAGTGGGGAGTCTTCTTCTCGCTCTGTCTGCTGCTCCTCCTGCTTGTGTTCTGTCTCTCTGACAAATAAATAAATAGAATCTTTAAAGAAAAATTGAGGGGAAAAATAATCTAGTATTAATAGCCAGCCCCGACCAAAAAGTAAATTTTTAAATAAAATGCTATCACTGCACTTATCACCCTGCCCAGTTACATAGTCATACATATGTCCTCTCAATAGCCTCTGTACCTCGAAAATGCTGCCAACCAAAGTTGTGAGTAGTTACAACATATTTCACAAAGAATTTATTACTAGCTATTATTCAATCACCCAAACCTGACAATTATTGAAAACAAAAACTAGCAGGGGCATTATGAACTGCATGTTTGTGTCCCCCTCAAAGTTCATATGTTGAAATCTTAACCCTCAAGGTGATAGTATTAAAAGGTGGGGCCTTTAGGAGGTAATTAGGTCCTAAGAGTGGAGCCTCAGGAATGGGATTAGGGCCCTCGTAAAAGACTTCCCAGAGAGCTCACCCCTTCTGCCATGTGAGGACACAGCAAGAAGATGACCACCTATAAATCAGAAAGCGGGCTCTCACCAAACACCAAATCTGCCGGATCCTTGATCTTGGACTTCCTAATCTCCGGAGCTGTGAAAATAAGTTTCAGTTGTTCCTAAACCACCCAGTATATCTTAGCGGCACTGCTTTCCTCGGTGGGAGGTAACAAAATGGAGTTGGAGCGAGTGAGCCAGGAAGTACAGATACCCGACAGCCGATGTGGGGCAGACACTAGGGAGAAGGGGTTCGGAATGCAGGCTCACCCAGCCTAAGCCCCTTCTCCCTTCTTGGCCTCAACTGTCTGGGAAGACAAAACACCCATTTCCCACCACCCTTTGCAGCTGGGCGGATCCCTTGCTGGGATCCTATGCAGAAACTGCCATATGATGCAGGTATGAGGACAGTCCAAAAATATTAATAAACCAAATTGATAAACTAATATAGATACAATCAAAGATTTTAAAATCTTTTTCTCGGCACATAGCACCATCTATGAAGTCCTCTTGTAAAATCTGGAACCTAAATTTATTCAAGCACTCAGTGCTCCCACGTATAGGAAACACTATAGCTAGAGGAACCCACTGAACGACACCAAAAAGAGGCATTTTTGAGATAACCGGGGAAAACTGATTATTGCCAGGGTATTAGATGATACCAAAGAATTACTGATAATCTCAGCCATTTTTTTTTTATTTTCCATAGAAATACATACTAAAATATATAGAGGTGTATGGTAAATTAGATTGCCAATTAGCAAAATTCCCTCATGCTCCCCAATTCCACTCAAGGACCTGCGTGTATTTCTTTGCCCCTGGACTTTGGATTTGGCCACATGACTTGTTCCAGTTCTAAGCCTGGGCCTTAACCTGCATGTTTCCATTTGTTTCCTTGCTCTGCCAGCACCCAACACGTCCATGCTAACCAATACAAAACCGCTACCAAATAAATATCTCTGGCACTGACTTTGGGACCAAGAGGCAACACTTGGGGAAACTGTTATCAGAGGCTGGAAAAATGGTAGCCTGGGTGATAAAGTGTGAAACATTTGGTGAAACAATTGCTGGCAGTAAGGTAGAAGATGGAAAATGTACCTAATGGGACTCAGTGTGGACTCAGGCAAGATGGTTTCCAGGCAGAGGAAATGAGTGGGAGCTCATTTATTTTAGCTTGCACACAAGCTACTCTAAGAAAGTAATGAGCTCAGAACCAAACCGATATAAAATGAAGTAACATTCTATCCGGGGTCTTCTTTTAAAATGCTTTGGGACATCTGACTCTTGGTTTCAGCTCAGGTCGTGATCTGGGGGTCATGAGGTCAAGCCCCGCGTTGAACTCCAGGCTCAGCGTGGAATCTGCTTAAGCCTCTCTCTGTCTCTTTCCCTCTCTCTCTCTCAAATAAATAAATCTTAAAATAAAATAAAATAAAATTCTTTGGGAAAGAAAAAAGGAAAGTGAAAAAGAGATAGATTAAGCAGATGTGGCAAAATGTTGAACCTGAACTATGGGTACTACACACAGAGATTCATAGTACTATTTTCTCTTTTTGTGTATTTGCATAATTAAAACATTTTTCATGATTTAAAAAAATCCTTGTTCTATCCTCTGATGGCCTTTTTGATGCATCAACTTGGGCTAGACTACAGTCCCATTATGGAAGCAAACATTAATCTAGGTGTTGCTGTGAGGATATTTTATAGATGTGATTAAGTCCATAATCAGATGACTTGGAGGAAGACTATTTTAAATAATGTGGGTGGGCCTGATCCAATCAGTTGAAGGGCCTCAAGACCAGAACTGAGGCTTCCCTAAGAGAAGAAATTATACCTGTAGACAGCAGCATCAGTCTGTGTCTAAGAGTTCCAGCCTGCCCTGGGACTTCCGATTTGCCCAGCCCCCACTGTCTCATAAAATAAACCTCTTACAAATCTCAATATATAACTCATACTGTTTCTGCTTCACTGGTTGAATCCTGATGGATACATCCACACTCAAATCTTGCCGCTTACATGTACTGGACCCAGCGCTACTCCAAGTGTGGTCATGTATATACCGACCATGCCCTCAGATGCTGTGGCAATACTACATTTCTATAAGAGTTTCTGAATGCAGGGCGCTTGGGTGGCTCAGTCGGTTAAGCGACCAACTCTTGATTTCGGCTCAGGCCATGATCTCAGGGTTGTGGGATCCAGCCCCACCTCAGGCTCCATGCTCAGCGGGGAGTCTGCTTCTCTCTCTCCCTCTCCTTTTGCCCCTCCCCCCACCCACACCCACTCTCTCTCTAAAATAAATAATCTTTTTGAAAAAGAGTTTCTGAACTCTTACTCTTGATTGCTATATTGATCTCTCAGTGACAAGCAGCTCGAGGACTGGCACTTGTGCGCAAACCTCATGTGGAGTAGCACCGAACTAGACATCTGGACATCTCGGAGCCTGTTTCTTCATTTCTGCAAAGGGAGTGACACCACCAATCTCACACAGCTGTTACGAGCAAGGCATAGTGCCTAACACGGAGCCATCCCTCAAAAATGGGTGACCTCCCTTCAGAGAACAGAGGTGTGCAGCTCCTCTGAAAGGACATGGCCTTTAAGAGAGAGAAAGGAAAACTTAACTTACCTGGAATTTAGTCATACTGTCTTCCTCATGGAAGGAGCAGGATCCTGAGAAAGTAGAACTGCAAAGAAAGAATCCATGAGAGCATGGGTTTGACAAACCGTGAGCGAATCCTGGTTTATCCTGATCTGTACAATTTTCTCACACATTCTTCTCTCCCGAGATATCTCTTCTTATTCCCAACAGACTCCATCCCACCTCCTCAAGCCTTGTCCCCTGCCCCCACTCCACCCGGATTCCCATATAACTCCTGTATCACTCCCCAAGCTTTTGGGTCCAAACTGCCACACTTTTTCTTTTTCTCAGACTTGTGAATGTATTGGCATCGCCTATATCCTAGTTACTCTGGAAAAGAGGCTCCAGAATTTCTTTTTTTTTTTAATTTTAATTTAATTT